GAGCTTGCTGGGCTGGCTCATCTGGTAGGATAGAGAACAGAACGATGAGCCAGCCCAGCAAGCTCGCAGCTGATGGGCGGGGGCTGCGCGCGCCCAAAAAAGCGTGCTTTTTAAAAAAGCGTGCGGGACGCGGGAAAATGCATTGGAAAGCGGGGGTGTCCTGCCAAAAGCGGGACGTCTGGTCACCTTAATCTATTGTTAAAAACTAATGGGGCAAAAAAACAAATTTCTAATTTAGAAGAGATATCAGTTGATCACTAGGGAGTGGAATGAAAATTCTCCAGGGTTTTCACAGTCAGTGGTATACTGTATGTAGACAAATAGCAGTTGCTTTGAGAAGTACGTATCATCTCTTGCAACCCACGAGCACTTTAACTCTAAAGTCTGAAGTGGATACAACCCAAACAAATCACAGATTTTTGTTGTTGTTGTTGAATGAATGTCACAGAGATGCCCACAGGCTCACATTGCATGGTGTGCTTGCTGGAGTCAGTAAAATCTAAGCAGACACCAGTTGCTTAACACATTTCTTTTATGCTTATGCTAACAGAGTAATCCCAATAGGCAAGGTTCATGTTTGTGTAAGTTACTGATTTTTTTATTCCCAGCACCTGTATAGTCCTTCCTTCCACCTATCCACTGTAATTCTGCAGCTTTCAGCAAGAGCCCACCGGATAGAAGCTTTGCACAGCAGGATGCTTGCTAAGTAAATAATCAGAATCAGCAGGTTTCAAGTCATACAGGCACCTGATAAGTAGCCTGTTTTGTTGAGGGTTCAGTATAAAAACCTAAATCCCCCTAACCTGTAGCTGCTGGTAGAGTCTCTTGGTTTGCATACACAATGGGTCCCTTTTCTCTGTTTTTCTTTTGCTTGGCTACAGTGGGATATCTCATTGAAGCTGTACCAGTGGTAAGTATTGTTTAAGTGGCACCTTTGCCTTTGTGTGTATCATTAAACAATTGCTGTAGGAAAATCCATGATATCAATTCTATCTTTTGATCACTGCATTTTTATCCAAAGTATTTTAGGCATAAATTTCTTTCAAATAACTGAAATAGAGGTTTAAAACAATCTACCTTAATGTATGAAATGTGTTTTTCCTTTTATACGTTTTTAGAATAATTTATTTTTAGTAATATTTTTAGTTTAATTAAAAGGAGTTAAGATGTTGGCACAGATGTGAATGTCTTGCATATTGAATTAAATTCTACAGATAAATTTGATAATTCATTTCCAACTCAGTACAATGAAATTGGATTGACTTTTAGGTAAAGAAACTGGGAAGTCTTGACTATGAGTTATTTGCATCTGTAACCATACCCTGTTCACTGTGTGGTTTTTGTAACATCTACAACATTGGATAGAATGAATATTCATAAATCAATGCCTGTTGCAGAATTAGCATGGGGGATCGGGACACTGTTTCAGTTCAGAGGAGATATGAAAAAGGTGTTATCAGGATTTTGTGTATCTGTGTACATATGTTCTAAATATCAGTTTATAAACAATATCTCAGAGTTGCATTCTATTTCTATGCTAATTTAACTTAGCTCAAACTAGGGCTAAAAGAAATCCTTTAAAGTGCATGAGTAAAGCAAAGTCTATGGCTCGCAAAACAGGCTATATCCTACCAAAACTCTAATAGAAATCTCTTTTGCTGTATCAAGGAACCCCATAGTTCTGCTGATTCAAAGTGTCCTCTGATGGTGAAAGTCCTTGATGCAGTTCGAGGAACCCCAGCTACCAACCTCCCAGTAAAACTGTTCAAAAAGGGTGAAGATGAGGCCTGGAAGGAGTTTTCCAGTGGGTAAGACCACATGAAAAGTGTCGGATAGAATCCATTGATCATGCTATATTTCCTTTTCAGATGGAATGTATTAATAACACAAACCTATCAGCCACAAGCTTTCATTGTTTATTATTTTTTAAGGATTGTAGATGTGGTGTTTCCTCAGAACTGTGCTATTTTAGCATGGTGATGGCACTATCTCCTTCCAAATCCTGGGAGGAAGTAGGTGCAAAATAAGGGTTCCTATTTATTTATATGAATTGTTACCTTTAGTACATTGTTTTATAGATGTAACTAATAGCAAGAACTTTTTAAATTTAATATAATCAGGCATTTCTGTATTAATGATTTCAAAAAAAGAATCTGGTGTAACAACCCTCCTCATTCTAGACAATCTAGAGATCTATCAAGTAATTTAGATAGATGAGTGTTACAATATTGATCAGCTTTGATATGGGCTTAGAGATTAACTATTTTTTCAGTGTAAAAAAAGATTCGAATGGATGCAGAAAATATAGTGTGACCTAATACCAAAACCTCATATACCAATTTGAAAATAAATCTCATTGGAATCAATGTTTTGCTACCAGGTGGTTGGGCATACAACACTTACATTATCTTAAATATGAGGATTTCTGATTAACTGACATGATTTTTTAAATCTTCCTTAGCATCAGCTCCAAAACATTATGAATCTTAGTTCAACATCCACATACAGAATTCCTCCCCCTGTATTTGGTTTCCCTATTAATAAAAAAACAAGTTAATTGTCCAGAAGCTAGTAATTTTGGAGCATTGCAATTTTGATGGAAGTCCCATTCTTTTCAGTGGATTGCTACAGTCTAACTCTGGATCCATCCCATGGCCAAAATAAAACAATATGCTATTTGTTCTGAGTAAAGCTATTGACTATATTACTCTCATATATTAATTTAAGGAAAACAAATGAATTTGGAGAAATCCATGAACTTATCACTGATGAGTTATTTACCGAAGGCTCATACAAGTTGGAATTTGACACCAGCTCATACTGGAAGGCACTTGGCATTTCCCCATTTCATGAGTATGCTGAAGTGAGTATTTGAAAATATTAAAATATAAGATAAACCACTGGCAAAAAATATTTTTGCCCTAAGGTTTAATTCCTCAAAATTATGATGCAGTTTTTGTTGCAATAATTCCTGCTTTTATATATACATTTATTTGGGGAGGGAAGAAATATAAATTGAAGTGTTTGATAAGTATAAACTTTAAGACCATATTTATTTATTCAAAAATATAAAAGATTCATAATATACATTAAATGTGTTTGCGTTCATGCATGCATATGTGTCTGTATTGATCTATATCTCCATATCCAGCTGGATTTAAAAGTGTGATAAGTTTAATTATTTTCGGGGGGGGCGGTAAAATTTCAGAATGAAAGAAAATAATCAATTTTCTTTAATGCCAATCTTTCTACTTTAGCATTGCTCTCTATCAGATCATTGTGTTTACTAAAAACAGTCCCAAACTTCTCTTCTCTTTTCTTTTTAACAGGTGGTTTTTACCGCTAATGATTCTGGTCATCGTCATTACACTATCGCTGCTCTTCTCAGTCCCTTTTCTTATTCAACTACAGCTGTTGTCAGTATCCCAAAGGAATAAGACCATGCGTAATTCTTTCAAAATTCTATTACACTTTTGTAGTAATATTTTGAAGGAGGTAGTTAATTTGCACTATCAACGGCTTGCTTCCTGCAATAGTATGTAACTGCTACTGCTTAGCTATTTTTTAATACATCAATAAATGTTCTCTAAATATGTGTGGTGTGCAACAAACACAATACAGTTCTGTTTAAAGAAACATGAAATACTTTTTTCCTATGTTGTATTGAACAGGCTTGAAGACATTCAGTAAGCACCAATTTATGAACAATTGTGATTGTTTTATATCTGTTTAGAATTTGTCCTGTTCTTAGCCAAGCAGTAAATGTATCTGGAAGAAGCAGAGCCAATGGCACAGATGTAACTTTTATCTGGAAAAAGGAGGAGAAATATCTTTAGGGATAGCACAGCAGCAGTTTCCAAATTGGTGAGCTTCCAGTATGTCTGACTATTTTTAATCAACCTTGAAGCCAGCACAGGCAAGCACTAATTACAACTTAAATGAGTGCCTTGGCTGTGCTGGCTTCAGGATTGATTTAAAAATAAGACAAGTGATTTGAGATTGGCCAGGTACTTTCAAGAGAGAAATTATTGTTTGCTTGGTAAAAGGAAGATGATGGAGACACAACATAACAAGAGAAAGGGATCAGATGGCAAAACCAGAAATGGAAAGGTGCAAAGGATTGCACAAAGTATGAGAGGTTGAAAAGCTGTGGCATGGAAACAGAAAATGGCAAAAAGTGCATCTGATAGTCATTCATATTTGAACTAGTGACCCTGAATGGATGACCTGTGTGTCTGTGATTAAAGACTGATTCACCATTTCACCTTCAAGCCAAATTCTGGGATGCATTTCTTGGCATTTAACTTCATCTGTTGATTTTAACATGAAATGGGTTTTATTAAAACAGTGACTTCAGAAGAAGGATTTCATGTTCTGAGGTTCAAACTTAATCTCTACTTTGCGTTTTTGTGCAAGTTCCCTTTCTGTGTTACCACAGTATATGTGGATAGGCACCACAGGATTCCTTTTGTTAACTTTCATCTCTATGGCAGCCATTCTGCCACAGCATCCATCACATTTTCTGAAGATCCCTATCCCAAGAGCCCCAAAGATTAGAGGTAAACAAAACCATAGTCTGTAGCACACTGTATTTTAAAAAAAAACCAATGGATTTTAAAAGTATAAATATTTTAATGAGCAAGTAAGTGATAGCATAATTCTGTACAGTACTCAGAACTTGTTAATACATTTAATGTGCTGCTTTCACCTGAAAAAATAAGATTAAGTACACTTCGCCTTATGAATACCATTTTTCTCATTTACATATAAAAATCAAACAATGTTTCACTCATTTGAAGACCCGGACCTAAAATCCAAGACAAATAAAACCCACTACAGACAATGAGACAAATGCTCATATCAGCCTAAGATATAGTGTCAGGGGAACTAAAGAAAAACACAAAATAATTAAGGTTTTCGTAAAAGCAAGTTCTCCAAGCTGAATTTCAGCATCTAGTGATTTCATCAACAAACTCATGTACTTTTCATAGCAGCACCAATTGTTCAGTGACCTTTCAAAATTATGAAAGTATTAAATAATAAAACTTAAGACCAATCCCCAAAGTTGCAACTGTTACAACTCCCCCAAATCACCTGATTGTAATTTCTGCTTGGCAATTGGCATGCATGTATGATGGCCACAGTGTCCCATGGTCACATGTCCACCATTTGCAACCTTCTTTTTCAGCTTCCGAGAAACAACGGAGAAGCCAGCAAGAAGTCACAGTCATATCATCATGCTTAATGACTATATGTGCTTTACATAATGATCATAGCTGGAATTGACAAACTGTCAGGCTCAATTATATGATTTTTCACTTCATGATAACACAGCTTAGCAATGGTACTGCCTGTCCCAATTGCAATCAGTAAGTGAGGGTTATCTATAAAAAAGTGATTTGTTATTGCCTTCTTTTCTGATTGGAGCTTGCCCACCTATTAACCAGGACTTGATCTAGACTGAGGACTGTGCTTAAACTAGATCAAAAGTACGTAACCACTTACTAGACCTTCATTAACTACATGAATTTTAGTGTTTCAACTGAAATGTATTTGTCTTACTCATGACAAATTATTCTATAGTACAGGGCACCCTGCTTAAACCAGAGAACAAAACCAGGCTGTCAATGATTCTACACTAGAGGTCAAGAAAATAAATGACTCCCAGCTCCAAATACAAATTAATTTAAACTATCATGGCATATAAAGATCTATTACAGAATGGTATAATTGAGCAGAAATTTTATCATTTTTCTTTCCTGGAAGGTTAAAATATAATTTTAAAGTGTATGCAAACATGCCTATTCCATACAGTTTTTATGAAGCTTATGTATCAAGTTGGCGATATTTAAGACAAGCCATTCCATTCAAATCATGTAATACATCATACAGAATTGAATTAGGACAGGATGTTATAAATACCATGTTTAGCTTTGCAAAAATCTACTAACTGGGTATTGAAAAAAAGTGTATAGAATATAGTATCTAGATTTAAAGGTTAAGGATTTTTTTTGCCTGCTTGATTCATTTAATTTTGTCAAAATTATGTATTTATCTGCCCCTTTGTTCCATTTTAATATCTTCAAATTACAAATTATTTGGAATGATAGACATCACTTTTTATATTTAATGAACAGCCTACAATCAGTTCTTATGCTGATGCTGTAAGGAGAAAACGAAGTACTTTTTATCCCAAACAACTGCAAGATACCTACAGAACTAATCCATAATGTAAATTACATCTGAATCCATTTTATTCTTTTTTAGATGTTGAACAATGCATTTTTCCACTTTGAAAGGAAAAAGAAGTAATTCTTTGGTTCTCAAATGTTTAATCTTGGTTCATAATTACATTCAACATAGAAATACCTGTATTAGAACAGAGTGATTCTCTCTGTAAAGATAATGGCTCAAGTATTCAAAGAAGAGTACTCAAAAAGGGATGCCGTATGTCAATCATCATCCAGTCCAATAAAAATTAGAATTAAAAATACCTACATTTTGTGTACTGGGCACAAAAAACAAGAACAAAATAACTTTGTAAAATAGTGGCCAAGTTCACCCCATGTTGAAGTCATAAACAGAAGAATCTTAGCTTGTTGCAGAAAAAGACCGTTGGCTTACCTGAACGGTCGTTCTCGGGGCACTGCGAAGAGAGCCCAAATGCTGGGTTAANATGTATGTATGTATGTATGTATGTATGTATGTATGTATGTATGTATGTATATGTATATACATTCAAACTAGACTGTCATGTTTCTTTGTGACATATCTGTGTGTGTATGTAAGTATATGCATTATGGTTATCTTTTCAGAGCTGAATGCAATGAAATTTCATTTTAATGTATGCTGATTATTCTATTTTATTCTATGCTATTCTATTCTAAACTCTCCTATTCTATTCTAATTCTAATTCTAATTCTAATCTTTCTTTGTTTCTGACTTTGGTAAGACTAGCTCTCCTATCACCATCTCCTCCTCCTCCTGCTTTCCCCAAGTACTCGTTCTAGTATAGCCTTTATTGTCATTGTACATCATGTATACAACGAAATTGATTCCAGAAGCTGTTACTTCTCCCTTGTTTTCCCCAGAGATTTGTCTTGGAAGGATCCATGATTTTCCATTGCTTCTGTGTTTCTGCTGAGGCTGAAATATCCCTCTGGGGAGTAGAATCTCTATCTTCGTTGTCCCAACCCAGGCAATCAGAGAGGATATCTCATGCTGGGGTGGCATCCAGCCTCATGACCCTCTCCAATCTAAAACTTCCCCCTTTCCAAGGGAGGGAGAGGAAATAGGAAGAGGGAGTCTGTCCCAACAACTGGCAGACAATGAGGAGATTTCTGTGTCAGGTTTCTCATCTTCAGTAGAACTTCTTGTCCAGAAACTCAGTCTTCCAGCTTCAGGGGTGGAGGGAAGGGAAGGTTTAAGTCCATCCCATCTTAAGGGTCAGCATTCATCACTGGTGCTCTGCCCCTCTCCCCCTTGCCCCTTGTCCCAGAAGAGTGTGTGATGGTTTCAGGTGGGGGAGACAGGTTTCTTGATAACCTCTAACACTCCGTTTGCCAAGTGTGGCTTCCTTTTTCTGTATCTGCAGAAGTGACAGTGAGAAGACTTGAGCTTCTGTAGGTTCTGTTTTGCAGTACAGGGTTTACTGAAGAAGAAGGTAGGGCATGAACACCTGCTTCTTCCCAAAGTCTTTCTTGATTGGGCATCTCTTCCAATGAATCTGCCTCTCCAGTGCCAGCATTCCAAATACTACCCACCCTGAATCTCATCTCTTCTCAAGATGGAAGTGGGCAGAGGATCCTAAGAGCTAAGGAACCTTTCCATGAGAAAACAATGCCAGCTAGGCACACTTTCATGACACTTTCAAGTTGTAGACCAAAGGTCTCTAAACATTTGCTCTTTCTTTCTTTCCTTCTTTCTTTTTCTTTCTTTTCTTTTTTCTGTCTTCCTTCCCTTCCTTCCTTCCTTCCTTCCCTCCCTCTTCCTTTCCTTTCCTATCCTTTCCTTCTTTTCCATTCATTCATTTTAAATTTGTTTGCCTCCCATCTTACTGTAAGGAATCTAGTCAAGAGACAAACTAAACATCAACAAGGGGGTTGACGGCAGTTAACTTGTTTGCAGGAAGCCTTGGCATGATCCAGATGTTCTTTCAAAACTGGGGCTCTGCCTGAAATTCCTTGAAAACTAAGTAATGCAAGCTGCAGGCAGAAATGATAGCCATTCAAGACGAGATACCAGCATGTAAATACTGCAGTTGAATGAGTTGTTACCCAAGTTTCCAAAATCCAAATTCTCCAGTGCACTGCTCAGAGAGTCCAAATGCTGGTTAACACAGCCTATCTGCCCTTGGACTGAGTGATGTTTTTGTTGACCACGCCTCCCTTTGCCTGCGCATGCTCAATTCGAAAACGAAGGAACTGTCCTGTAAACA